ATGATGATAAATAACATAGTTATGTATAATATATTACATTTCTGACTGTATATCCCTGTAATTATTACACACTGTAGCTTTAACAGAAGAAAACCTTCAGTAGAACCAGGCTCAGTGTGAGCGGCCCTCTGCTGAGACTGACTGGGGTTCAAGGAGACAGAAGCAGACAAACAGAAAGAAGCAGAGAAATGAGAGATAATAGGATGCGTTATTTTTAGATGAAGAAGAAGAGGAAAGCCCTCAGAGATAAATTTTTGTCAAAGAATAGCAAAACTGCACTATCCTCATCAAATTCAGTCAGCAACCAGGAAAGAACAGCAGCATCAAACATCATTAAGATAATTCCAGGGCCAGCATAGTACTCGTGTCCAGGACATTTCATCCACCTTTCTCCTGTTCCTCTCTCCAACCAACAAGAAAAAATCCTCCTGGAAAATACAAATTTGGAGAGTTTCCGAGAGATCAACCTGACCCGGATGCAAGGGAAGCAAATCAAGAGAAGGATGTTCCTTAGGCAGTAGGGAAAGGCTTTGAGAGAAAGGAGCCTCTGCAGCCATTGTGGAAACTGTTCATGAAGCCGAATATTGTCCCGATCCACCTGAGGCTGCAGCTGGGTCAGTAAAAACAACAAAAGGTGTTTGCTGCTCATGTGAGACACACTGTCCTACATGAACTAAACAGAGTTGATGCTGAAAACTTCTTTAAATCTAGTTTTGTTGTTTTGTTGTGTTCTGAGAAAGTGTATTTTTCTGATTCACTTCCTAAAAAATATAAAAAAATAAACTGTTAACAAAAAAGTTAGTTTTCCTTTTAATATTAATATTTCACATTTAAATAATAGCAATAATAAACCTGTATTATTTAAAAGAAAAGTGTTTGATGGTTTGTTTGTAATTAAAGAAAAGTGTAATACTGTTGGCTGGTGATCATTTTCTGTATTGTGTAACAAAAACATGTTATAAAAAAGTATTAAATTGAGTTACATTTATAAATAATCGGTTGTTTCATCATCCAAAACAGCGTTTGTGTTTAAAATTCGAATAATTTTCTTTATATCTGTCCTTTAGTAGGGAGTGTCATTTTTGACCTGTAGGACAAGAGCAATTAACAGAATGTTAAGATTAAACAAGGGTTAAGTTCAGAATAGAATTTAAAATCCTCCTTCTCACATATAAAGCCTTAAATGGCCAAGCTCCATCTGATATCAGAGATCTGATTGTTCCTTATGTTCCTAACAGAGCACTTCGCTCTCAATCTGCAGGTTTACTAGTGGTTCCTAGAATTTCTAAAAGTAGAATGGGAGGCAGATCTTTTAGTTCTCAGGCTCCTCTCCTGTGGAACCAACTACCAGTTTTAGTCCGTGAGGCAGACACCCTGTCTACTTTTAAGGCTAGGCTTAAAACTTTCCTTTTTGATAAAGCTTCTAGTTAGAGTGGCTCAGGTTATCCTGATCTATCTCTATAGTTCTGCTGCTATAGGCTTAGACTGCTGGAGGACATAGGGACCCCTTTCCTCACTATCATACATTTACTTTACAGTATAGTACTTTATAATTTTTAATTTCCTGCTTTTGATTCAGATTTTTATAGATTTTATATTTCAATCTATAAATACTCGCCATGTTCAAATCCTGCATGTAGCCAATTGACACACTGCAGGACAACAGAGGATATTTCCATCCTATTCTTATTACCGTATATGTGTGCATCTTGTAAGCTTTCACCTCACTCTACTCAGCTGCACATTTATATCATACATGCATGCTCTGTTGAGGTTGAGTCCATCTATCTTAGTACCACTGAAGCTATCACCTTATTGTTTTCCAATAATTAGTAAAACATAGTTTTTAAAGAAAAATAATTAAATAGATGCAAAGGACCTATCAGTAACCATGTCTGTTCCAGCGCATCATCATTAGAATTTCTTTTTGGTATTATTTCTTCAGTACAGGGGCCATAACAGGGGCCACGACATGATCTACAGGGGCACCGGCCCCCGTTGGCCCCCATCTCTCTGAAATTAATGAGCTTCGAATTAATGAGTTCCATATCCTTAACTGCAAGTTTCGTTTCCAAAAAGCCTCCATTTAAATCATTTTTAACTGAACTGATATAACATGCAGAAAACATGCAGACTGCTCAAGTCTGGAACATTACAATTCTATAAATCTGAGTTAAATTATTACCTTATCTATGTTATTGGACTTTGTGTGTTATATTCCTCTGTTATATGTACATTGTTTTTATTTCCCATTGCCCCTGGAATTATTTCCGATCTTCTTCCATTTTTTTTGTTTGTTTTGCTTTTCTTCACATTATATAGTTTCCTATTTAGACTTCCGAGTAGAAATGAAAAGCAGCAGTAATCCTTGTGTCCAGGTCTAACGATGCTCCTTCCTCTATAACGTAAGCATCATAAAACCATCATTTGTTCTGTAAGTTCTTATTTTCTTAACTCTTCTGATCAGTTTACTCCCAGTGTAGCAGCAGCAGATACGGACCAGAACTGCAGCCGCACATGTTTCCTTCCGGAAACATTTCTATGGTGCACTAGCATCCTCCGGTGTTCGGCTTCCTGAGAACCTCTACTTCAAAGCGACCAGACCGAATCTACCTGGTATGTAAAATTAGTGCGAGACCAGGAGCCTGAGTTAATTCCCGCTTTTGCTAGAGGCGCCCGTGGATTATTTAAAGTCGCTCAATAAGAGATTTGATTGTAGGAAAGAAGAGCAGCAGCTCAGCCAGTCCGTCTGTTTTTCTGTTGTGGCGGTGATAACTGATGCTGACCTGATTCTGCTGCTTGTTTCAGTGAGGATGAGGAGGATGATGAGGATGATGAGGCAGATTGCTGCAGAGGAGGAGGTTTAAAAAAAGGACCTCAGACACAACAAACTCTGTTTTCTATTAATAAGGTTTTATTAGCAGTGTTACTTCCACTAATTCAGCTTATTGAAAAATAAAAACCCACTTGATTCTTGATTCCAGTGGAAGTATAAGTTCTACTCTTTAGAAACACTTTTGTAGAAGTTAGAGGATCAGCATAAGTACCAGTTTTACAACTAAAAGTAAAAATAATGCAGGAAAAAGTAACGATAAAAGCTTTAAACCTCATACTGGTCACTGCTCTACCCTATTAAAAGGACATTTTTCTATAATTCTGAATGATAACTTCCTTAGACTTAATTTTCTTAGTTTTATAACTAATGGTAACAGTGTCACATTTAACTTTGCATCACCTTGAAAAACTATTTATTTTTCGTATTTGGTGTTGAGCAACAAGTTGGGGCAGCACCGAGTCCAACCACAAAGAAATTAATTGCCTGGATGAAACTAATTATTTTGATGGATTTTATTTATAATGAAAATGATCTTAAATAAAACCAAACTAATTAGTCTATTTTTAAAATGTAAGGAGTAGAAGTAAAAAGTAGTCTAGAAAATAATTACTCCAGTACAATAATAGTAATACATACCAAAAATGTTTTACTTAAGTAAGTTAACAAAGTATTTGTACTTTGAATAAAAGGGATTACATTTGTAATGTTAGAATTAACTGAATTAACTCATACAATTATTTGAAAACTGGGGCTGAAATCGAGAGAAAAACAACAGAACCGCTGGAAATCGGGAGAAATGTCCAACATGTCTGAAGTATTTTCAGCAAAATCTAAGTTAGACAGAATATAGTGATGCATATAAACAGATGCGGCCCGTCAGGTGTATCGTATCTGGAGACAAAGGGAAAAGTCTTGCATCAGCAGCAGAATTATGACGAGTTAAGACTTCTGACAGGGCTGTTAGACAAAGAGTACTTCACATTATACTCCACACTGTAAGGAATAGTGCTCACAGAAGGACCTCATTGGATGATTGTAGAGACGAAATGTAAGGAGTAGAAGTAAAAACTTGTAGAAAGTAATTACTCCAGGAAAGTATAGATAGCAAAAATGTTTTACTTAGAAAGGTAACAAAGTATTTGTACTTTGTTACTTGAAAACTCTGGTAGATGGTAAATTATTATTTTATTGATCAGTAAATCACAAAAACACTGAAATATTAACTTCACAAATACAATAAAAACATCTGATGAAAGCTGCCCATGAAATTTAATTAGTGTGTAACTGGTGTTTCTAACTAATAGATTTAGAGAACTGCTGTCAGATTATTGCTCCTTAAAAGGATAAAGGTGATCTTTGGTTAATAGATCTCAGATAATAGAAAAAAGCTGCCAGCTGATTTATCAGCTAAATAACCTTTGGTTGTCTTCCTCTACAGCCCCCACCCCCACCTGCTGCTGCTTCCAATCTGGATCTCCCTCTCCCTCCCACGCCTGCCACTGAGCTTTACACATAAAACGTTTTATCGACATTGGAGCCTGCTGGCTGTCTGATCAGCTCTCTAACCTGCACAGCCTCCATGTTCCAGTGTCCTAACGTCTGTTTTATTAAGAGCTTTTTTTTTTAAACTACAGAGTGAATCATTTTATCTTTGCAGGGTCTTCTAGGCTGGTCTTAGACCAGTTTGCATCGGGCAGTTCTATCAAAATCATTTGGAGTTGATTTGTTTGACTGGCGGCAACAATGGATGAGGAGCCGGAGCGAGCAAAGCGCTGGGAGGGAGGCTATGAAAGGACATGGTAAGACACGTAGACCACAGCGGTTCTCAGCCTGGAGAACATGCTCGTATTTAACGCAATATGGGAAATATTTCTGGATCTGTTTAGGGAGGTCCTGAAGGAGGATGAATCCGGCTCCCTTAAAGCGACGGTGGAGGAGATCCTGTACCAGTCCAAGAGGAAGAGGTGATTAAGAACAGATTGAACCAGATTGTCAGAAAAGTGTAAATCCCACATCAATGAGGGTTACATTTCCTCACTTATCCCTACGTTTTGATGTATAATTTGTCTAGAAACAGTGAAAAATGAGCGAGTGAGAAGAAAATGTTTGGCATGAGAAAAACGGTCATTGACTTCCATTATAAATCAGAAAAAATGGCAAAACTGTAAAAGTTAGCAAAAAGCTGAGTTAAACAGTAATAGCAGAAGGTTGCGGAAAGGTTTTAAAAATTGAAAGGTTTCAGAAAGGATCTGTTTTTCCCTCCAATTAGAAAAAGAAACATTTTATAAGATTTGGTCCAAATGGACTGAGTACGTGAAACCACTTAGATCCAACTTCATTTGATTGTTCTTCTGCAATATGTCTCGCCCTCTTATATCTTTGTGGTTTTTATTACTCGAGGTGGTGCAATCCCCATTACTGTTTAATTTTTTCCATTTTTTGTTCTCTTTACAATTAAGTTAGAGATATTCTGTTAAAAATACCAGAAAGGCAACATAAAATCACTTGGAATTTCTGCTTATATCTTCAGTTCTAATCTTAAATGGATGAAGCTGTGATTACTGATGTGATGGAAATCTGTCTTTCTAAAAAATAAAAAATAAAAAAAATGTAAAGGTTTCTAGCTTAAAACTATGCGAAAGTATTTAGGGGACAAAATAGCTGAAGTTTTAGCAGAATTTTGGCAGAATCCCATTCGCTGCAGTCATGGTGGAGGGAGCTCTTTTGATTTCCCAGTCTTTCGTTGACTTACGTCATCACGGCTCTCTTTATCCCACAGGGTGACCCAAAGCCATGCGCAAGTGAGGCTGGGGATGGTGAGTGATGTCTGCTTCTCCACCGCATGTCTCACTCCTTCCTGTGAAGCTAAACATGGCTGACCTGTCAGCTCTGTGATGGTTCCTGCAGCTGCTGTAGACCTTTCTAAGCTCGTATTGTCATCACATCAAACCTTACTGTGGGGTCCTCATTACCAGCTTCACATCCTGGAGGAATTCAGCCAATTAAATTGCTTTAATGAAGAAGACCGGAGCTGAGGACCTGAGTGAAGTTGGCCCCCCCACCTCCTTCAGATCAGACAAAATTAGTGTCAAACATTTGTGCAGCAAAAAGTTTAATTTCTGCCGCTATTGTTTTAAAGATATAAAGAAATGTGTCTAGAGGTCATCGAAAGGTCAACCAGCCCCCCCACCTTCTTCATATCAGACGAAATGGGTGTCAATTAACTCGGCTCCGCTTATCCTGAATTAACAGGATAACACCTGTGTAACATTTTAAGGGACACTTCCCGTATTTTATTAGAAACAAAATTTTTTCTTGGCAGTAACCATGTTTGTTCCCAATTGATATCTGAAAATAGATTGTTCCGAGAAAAAAAAGGTTGAGGCAGGTTTGCTAACAGTATTCCTCTGGATTATTTCTCTTATATGTTTCTTTCCAGTTTTAATACTAAGGAATGGATCTGAATTCCTAATAAATAATTCTGGAAATCTGGGATGCTGGACGTGGGCGTTACCTGATTTCAAATTTCAAACCTGCAGGAATAGCATCAAAAATAACGGCAAATTCTTTAGGGGTCTACGGGGGAACTTATATTCGCCAAAAAATTCACCATAATTAAACAGTTGACCTTCTCCATTGAACTACTGTTTTACAAATTGGATATTTCTTTCCACCAAGTTCTGAAGAAATAGGGATTTATGCCTGAAGCAAATATTATATTATGTTATTCCAAATATAACAGTTATGAGTCCCAGGATCAGCCTAACAACCACCTGCAGCTGTAGAAACATGTTATCAGATCCAGAGGAGATGATGTTTGTTTCGTGCTCTAGATGCGCCACCTCTATATAGTGATCGACTGTTCACGCAGTATGGAGGACCAGGACCTGAAGCCCAACCGTCTCACGTCTACACTGAAGGTGAGGCAGAGCGCACTCAGCACGGTTAGTGGACTCAGTGACCGTCTCTAATCAGGATCTCCTCCCTCGTCTTTAGCTGATGGAGGGATTCGTCGACGAGTATTTTGACCAGAACCCCATCAGTCAGGTATGAGCTCCAGCTTAGAGAGCAGAGAACCTGTCAGAGAAGATGTTAGGACTGGATGGTGTGAATGCTGAGCGTCTGGATCTTCTGACATAAACTTTCCTCTCTTGGAGGCTTTAGTTTTAATTAGGGATGCAACTAATCTATTATTCTTCCAGTTATTTTTTCAATGTGTGGATTAATAATCAGATAGCAAAAGGTTCCTTAAAGAAGACTTTTTACGAAATTAAATGGTGAGACAGTGGCAGCTGGTGAAAAATATTTTTGGTGGGGCTGATATAGCCTAGTGTATGTCTCCAACTAATCCGGAATAAGAATTCAAATAAAAAATTGGAAATGAAATACAATTTAACAGTAATGATTTAATTTACTATATAATAACAGTAACAGTGATGATTTTGGTCACTGTGACGGGGTTCTTTGGCCTCCAAGAATCCAGGTTGAGTCCGTTTACC